TGATGGGTGCAAAATTAAATATTGAACAATCTACGATTTTGTATGTATTGTTGGTAGCATTTCCATTACCGCAAATTACGTTATTTACTGAACATATAAAATCGTATCCTGGATTCTTTTTTAATAGAGAACATAATTTTTGGAACGCCATATCCCCCACCTTTCCTGGTGTGTTTTTTAAAGGTGGATACACTTTTTCCACAATTTCCATACTTTGGTTTAATTTAGACCTATAGTTTCTAATTGTTCTATTGCATCAGCAATAATTTTAAAGTGAGTTTTAATGTACAAGAGTTCATTTTTAACGTTTGCTTTATTCAGGAATTCTTGAGCATTTTTACTGCTTTGTGCATCTGTGGATTCAAATGACATTACAACCTAAAAATATTCAATACAAGAATGATAGTAAAAAACCATTATATATTTACTAACTTGTTTTAAAACATCAAAGTGTTCTGCATAAAACAATGCTGCTTGAATCCAAGTGCCCCACCTGGTTAATACAGGTTCAGGTGGGAGAGGTGTATATGGTAAACTGCTTTTATAAAACTCTACTCTTATTGGTGCTTTTAAGAAGATTTTTTTAACATTGCTAATTATCCCATTGACATCTGGATAATTCAGTCTAATTGTTTCAGACACTAAATGTAACCCATGTGCCATACATGTTAAGTGTCTTACATTTTCATAAAACACCTTCAAATTAGTACCAGTTTTGATCATGTATGAAGCACCATCTGATACAAACCATTTAAGTTTTTTGTGTTCAGTTCCTTTTGGCCACAATAAAGCTACAAATTAACAATTAAATAAATTATAATAATTTCAATGCTTAAAATTATCAATAGCACACCCAATGATTCGTTTATAAATCTCGAGATTGTGTTGCTATTAGTTTTATCAAGCTGCTTCAAAGCTAGTAGAAATGGATGGCCAGCTTCTTCAGAAGATAACTTTCCAATTACTAAATGGGCTATGCATATTCCTAATCTGTCCGTCGTCTCATCGACGCTAATCCATATATCATTGTTGCCAATAGAATTTCTAATTTGTTTAATTACCTGTAAATTATAAAATTTATGTTAAAAACTTTTTAAATAAAAATTCTAGTGCTCACCATATCGTAATCTTTTGGTAAATAATTTTTTCTCAGAGTCTTTCTGAGGATAAATGCCTTCCTGTATATTTATGCTTAAAATTTTTAAACTCAGGACAACTAACTTTATTCCATGGAATATTTGCTGCGGTAAATGCCCTACATAAATCGGTGCAAAATTGCGTAAAATCATGGTCGCAACTAATGTTTAATAAAGTGTGTTCACTGGATTTATTCTTGTTCTTTTTATGTGCATCGCCAATGCAGTGTTGTTCAAAGTGTGATTTTTTTTCGCACTTAAACTAGGAAACAAAAATGTGAACATAATTCAGAGTTCAGTATTTTAAATGTTTACTTAGAACTGTTCCACACACCTTGCAGAATAACTCATTGTCTTTGGTTGAAGAAGGAAATTGAAAATTAGTGTCCAAATTATTCCCTAACCATAATTTGATTTTATCTTTCATGGATGATTTTACCTTAGGCATTTTGAGGATTCTTTACTGTATGCACAAAAATCAAAACCGACTCCGACACACTCACTAACACGCAAACACACTTAGTATCACTAACAATAAACTTCTAAAATAAAATGCTTTTACAGAGATTCACCTCCTTCCGGCTATAATCTAAATGAAATACAGGCCAGCGTTGTCAGTTGGCGACACCAACCCGTACCACTAAACTCAAGGGCGTTGTTTACAACCCATTTTTAAACAATCTGCTAGCCAAAACAATGAATTCACGCAAAATCTCTATTGTGCAAGCATGTCCGCTTCGTTGGTCGTGGAATCCTATTTTAATAAGTCTTTTAAAATTTACAATTAGGTCGTTTAATTAACACTTTAGGTCTCTAACGGTAAATTAGGCATTTTAGGTAGTAATAAATGGGCGTTAAATAAACAGAATTTTTTAAATTCGGATAAATATATAACTTTCGCTGCAATGCCTTAAGTAGATATAAAAAGGCAAAAAACCTAAGATCCGAAGCCTAGTTACTATTGTTGGTATACCTTTAATATATCGAATTGTTCTTGTTCGTCGAGTCTAATTTTATGTAAATACTTGCGTTGCGAAGGTGTTTTGTCGTCGCTAATTTTAATACTATTGTTACGACTGATAATAATCACAGCTTTACTTTTCAAAACCTGCAGGGCTTGGGTAGAATCTTCAAGAATTATCTTTAAGGGACGAGGGTTATTTCCAACGCTACCCATCCTAATAGTTTTGATGTTATAGCAATTTTATCTTCACGATTAGCATTGGTACTTTCATTGAAATTAAAAATAATTACATTTTTAGCTCTTGACTGACGCCCCTTTACTTCTTGAATTACGGATTCAGTAAGTTTAGCACTGTCAAAGGATTCAGAGTTAGTTTTTAGCGAAGCAAGTTTTTCATCAAACTGGCGTTTCATTTCCTCCAAGGATTTGGTAAATTTCATTTTCAGATTTTCTATAATAGGAATACGGTCGACGAATCTATCTATATTAGAGCTGCATTTATTGCATACAACTTTGATGGCACGGGATTTGGCTCTCGTGGTGATGGCATCAGTTTCCGTGAGACCAACACAAGCATAGTGGACGTTGCCACGACAAACGTCGCATTGAGTTGTTGGTTTGTTAGATTTCGCACTAGACGGGCAACAAACTGTGGAGGACATTCCTACCTTTGAAATTATGGGGTATGAAGGCAGAGAAGGAAACGTATCTTATCAGATGTACAAAAACGATTAGGTACTATCAGCTATTTTAGTAATTTGAGCCCAATTTCTAGTAATTTAATCTAGGAGACTAGTACCTAAGGATAATGTACCTGGAGAATACAATAGGGGTTTTCCACTGATACCAATTTTAATAATTGCATTTATGTATCTGACTCAATAATTCACAATTAAACGCCCAACATGTACCTACATGTAGAGATCGTACACTTATCAACACTGTGAAAAAGAGAAAGATAGAATACCTAGGCCACATAATGAGAAATCAGAATAGATACGTTTTCCTACAATTGATCCTACAGGGCAAAATACAAGGTAAAAGAGGACATGGAAGGACGAGAATTTCATGGTTAAGGAACCTGAGATCATGGTTTAACATAAATACGACAGGATTGTTTCGAGCAGCAGTTAATAAAGTTCAGATTGCCATGATGGTCGTTAACATCCGGAACGGATAGGCACAAGAAGAATATATTTGGATAGAAATCAATTTTTTGCTATCCAAGTACGACATGATTCGCAGCTCCTCTACAATATTGCCATTGCGAGATATTCCAAGTCTGATAATAACACAGGCCTGCGAAATATAACTTTTAATTTCCCTTTTAAATAATATTGTTTTTTTTTTAGGTATTTATGTATGCCGAATTAAAATATAACTCTAGTTTTTTTGTAGCACATCGAGATTTATTTTTATGTAGGCCTAAATATTCATAGTTTTTCAAACAATTTTTATGAAAAAATAAAATATAAAAAATATAAAATTGAATATTTATTTATTAAATGAACTAAATTAGTTATAAACAAGACTTAAAAAAACAAATAATTCAAGAAGCTTCTTTTTTTCTTTCTTCAAAGCTCTGATTTAAGCATTTTCTCTTGTATTCACGATAGGATATGTTATTGCTGTTACATTTTTCGCATTATATCTTTTTATATTTGAACAGCAAAAGTAACAATCGTCTGTATGATTTTGTGGCTCCATCCAAATCATTGGTGTCAGCAAACTTAAAGATTTTTTTTTTCCTTTTGACCATTTGCGAGGTGCATGAACACATTTTATGAGGCACCCATTTTTTGTCTTGGTTTTTTATATTAACTTTAAAATAACTTTCGCATAGTTGTTCGATAAATTCAGAAATTATTAGTTGTTGTTTTTTGATTAAATAACTTCTACAAATGTAACAGAAGTTATGTGAAGAATTAACCCATTTCCGAGAAGACATTAGTAATTTTTGTTTAAATTCAGAGTAGTAAGCGCATAGTCGACACAAATAAGTCTTACTAAGCTAAACAGCAAATGAAATATCAACACCATTATCCATACATATTATTACCACAAAATCTAGAAGTTAATTTTTATGGTACTAAGAACAAAATTGAAAAAAATATTTTTTGCAGAAACTGTACGTGATAGAAATTTTTGCAATTTTTTTTTATACATGAGTATCTAAGGCCTACCGAAATTACTACTTGATTTTGTTGGGGGAAAACCATCGCAGGCCTGTGTAATTGACGTAAGGTCCGCGTAAATTACGCGGTTTTGTGTAGACCTTGGACACTGTCAACTGTCAATAATTTAATTGTTCTGTATCTTGTTCATTTTGAGATTCTCGTTATTTCGAATAGTAAATAAAAAACAGAATATTGCTAATATTCCTATTCTCATTTAAAGATAATGTCTCATTTATTAAAAGAAATAGCATCTTTTTAAAAATCAGGAAGATCATGCACTAGTCACTATCTTTATGGTTGTTAACGTATCAATTTGTGTGTGAAAATGAAATACATTTCTCTGTCTGTTTGATATTAAACTGCCTAAAATATGGTTCACTCGATTGTATAAATTTTGTCTATTCTGAGGTTCCAGTTATTTTGAATTCAAAGTAGATCGAATCAGTATAACGAACTCACTTCACCCCCAGTTCACTTTAAAGTTCACGTTTGCTCCAGGTGAGCGAGTGCACGTGAACGTTATCGTTACGAAAAACGTCAGTTATTAACTGAATAGTCGATTTCACGTGCGTTTGATGTAGATGACGTCGCGATGCTGACGTCGTAAAGGCGTCGGCACGTGCGTCTGCGTCCACATGGCATCTGCGCGAACACGTGCAATGCCACAGGTTGCCAAAGATGGAATGTCACAACATATACTATCAGTAGTATCTACGGCGCTATCTTGAGGGGATGTTGGCTGGCGTCGCGGCGCACTTGCGGTAAATAAGTGGCACGTGAGTGGGAATGATAACGGAGGAAAGGCGAGTGGTTGTAAGTTTCATGTTTTTATTTGTTAATGTGTAAAATGTTCAAAAGTAATAACGGAAAATTTTGTCTTGAAATACAAGAATAGAATAATATTTTTATTAAAAAATTTCTGTTCTTGTATGAAAAATGTCACAAAATAAGAAGGTGTTTTAAAAAACGCTACAGTCTTTTATACGTATTTGATAATGTAATTTTAAAAACTTTGCAAATTGTAGGTGTTTTAATAGTCTCTTAATTTGGAATTTCGAATACAATAAGTTATCATCGACTCGAAACGTACCAAATTCCTTCCACATTGTTCTTGGGAATTTTAAAACAGCAGTTGTGTTTGTACATGTATCTTGAAGTCTGAATCTACGTTAATATTAAGGTAGCTTATGATTTCTAAAAAGAAAATGTTTTTTCTGCTAAGCAACGATAATAATAATTCGATCTCTGAAACGTAATAGAAACGTTCAGTCATACTCGATTTTTTACAATTTATTTTATACTGTTTATTAGTTCTAACGGGTATTCTAAAACTTATGTTTTGATAGAAGTGTTCATTTCTATGCAAGTCAATATTGTCTTGTTCTTGTTAAGTGGGTACAATGTTGCATATGTGAAGTTTCTGTAGTAAAATGTCTGTAAAATATGCAGAGTATGATTTTTCTTTAATCGGAGATATACATATCACTTATTTTCATAAACATATTTTTATAATTTTCAGTGCAGTTTACTATGGTAAAATATCTGTCATTTTGAGTGATAAAATTTCTGAAATTGTAACTGTATTTTAAAATTATCACCAAAATAAAAGCTGAAATCGTAACCAAAAATTTATCTGTGCATGTTATGTTTCTATGGTACCTTATTGAAGGTTTAATAATATCGTTTTACATTTAACTTATATATTTACCCATTGAAGCTATCGCAAAAAAAAGGTGCAACGGGAAAGCTCTGTTTCTAAGTTTACGTGTCGTACGCCGTTCATATGGTGTAAATACTAGTAAACAATAATAACAAATTAAATTTTAATAGATGTTTTACATTATAAAGTGCATGATGTATGTATTATCGAAATTTCAGGAAGGTTCCTTATCGGTTATTAAGGCAAACTGTAAAATTTAATTCTAGAACAGAAATTGTTTCTTCCACGATTATCCGTATGCGCAACGTTAAAAATGAATACTTCCATTATTAAATCGCAGAAAAAAGAACAGGTTACATTATAAATTTTAAGTGATATTTATTTCGCAAAATTTTGAGATGTCTTTTTCATCTTTTTATTTTTGTAACGCCAACTGACAAATTGACATATATTTTTAGGACATTTACGTATCCACAGTTTTGCTTATTTGCAGAAGCAAAAAATACTCATAAAAAAATCCCTAGGTCTTTGCCGACAATTTTTGAGTTCTAAAACCAGGATTGTGAGACGGAGATACAGGAATGTTTTTTAATGAAATGCAGCTTTTTTTGTTGAACTGAAAATCGCAGTCAAATAGGTATGTCTTATAATATTCTACAATATTGATACACATAATAAATTATTATTCACAACAACATTTTCACCTTCTGGCCACTAAGTCAGCGTTAGTTGGGTTATTTTGACGTCTGATGCTTTTATTTGACGTTTTATAGCTTGCAGAATACAGAAATGTTGTCATAAAGTTTTAAACATTTAATTCCGAAACGAGACAGCAATAAAAACACCATCAAAAATGGTTGTGCATTTTTGAAAATTGTCTTTGATCGTTTCATTTTCAACTCAAACTTCCAAAATGACGGTGATCTGAAAAAAATGGTCGAAGGTTATTTCGACAGAACTTACCTCGCCCCTAAAGTACAATAAAACAAATCCAGCTTTTTTGAAAAATTATAAAATTTAATTATGTGAATTTTATTTTTTTTAAGAGAACCCTCATATCCTGTTAAGTTAAAATAAAGATATGTATGTAATGTTAAAGTAAACATAAATGAATTTCTCCTTAAGAAAATTTTCTGATGACGCCATTAAAATTTTTGCAAGGACACGTATATCTATCAATTTTGATAGGTGCAGTCTAATACTAATGATAACAGTCTTGTATTTCCAAATTTTCGGGAAAATAGAGTGAGTTTTTCCTGATTTGATCAATAAAAAAAATTGACTCATTGATTAATGTTTATGAGTCATCATGCATCGGTTGGTATTATCGCTTGCCATTCTGGTACTGATAAGTGGCATGTTTCCGCAATAAAATAAAATGGAGAATCGTTTTTGCCCTTTTCATTTTCATAAATATATACCGTCGAAAACAATACAAGCAGTTACAATTTAGAACATACTTTTGCGAATATTTGTTATTTGCACGCCTCGCCTTCGACTCGGCCCCAAATGCACTTCAATTGGCAAAACCCTAGTTTCTGGTCCTGTGATGCAAATTACATTGGAAGTATAATGTATAATAATTAAAACCAATTTAAAATCGAGTTGCCTGGAATTTATAGGTTGGGAAATAGACACTTTCCAACCGGTTAAAAAAGTAAATCCGCGAACAATTGGCCATGTTTCAACTTTTTAAAAGATGAAAAGCTGAGTATTGTCGACCGATCGTGAATAAACTCTGTTTCACTATCAGATATTTTATTTGTTACAAAAAAATTGTAAATGCAAATTTGGTGTGATTTTTGATAACTAATTTAACAAAATGTCAATCGTGCAGCGTCTACTGAGTGTTAATATTTTACCAAAATAAACCACATGCATTATTATGAGGTGGGTTTTTTATTATTATATTGTTGCTTGTATTCTTAAATATGATTGTGTATAAAATAGTATCAAACCTCGGCAAAAGTACCATTCCTGTATCTCGAAAACTAGTTCACCTGGAGGTAAACTATATGTAATTCTCTCGGCAGGAATGAAATACGTTTCGCCTCGGTATGTAATATACCTATCATTCTTTTGCATTCTTGAAAACAATCTTGACAAGGTAATTTGATACGTCAGAATTTGAAGAGACAGAATAGTTACAGTGAAACCTCTTTACAGCGGACACCTACGGGGAATCTCAATTTTACATTTTAACAATTTAACATGTACATACTAACGGCGAATTTTTCTGAGAGTCGCCAAATGCTTAATTTAAACTTCTCGGCATTGTCGATAATTTAAATTTTTTCACAAATACTTAAAATTTTCTTTGCTTGGCGGTCGTTTTAACACTTTAAATGTAAACGCTCATATAATAATGTTTCATAAGTTCATTCGCTCTTGACAAACAAAACCACCCCAGCTTTGCTATTTGGGAAAAAGCCATATTTACTTGTATTATGAGCAGTGTGGGGTTGAAGAGAGTTATGGCCTGGTACCGAGAATCTGTTGGACTAATTTTTAATTTTATTGTATAGTGGTCCAACTCTGACTTTGTTTTTATGGCACTGCAATCTCAATTACCGCAAGTATTAGGAATTCTATTGAAAATGTAAATAGGCGTGCCATAAATCATCTTAAAGGTTTACGGGCGCATACGGCCCTGTGTAGTGTATACAGTTTGTCCCTTGATGGGTTATGAATGCTGGATTACTTACGGCAGAGGCCTATTGTGGAACATTTAACTCCTTCACAATAGGATAGAGTCATAAAAACGAACCAGCAGTTGAAGCACTATACGGTCTAATTTCGGAACCGCTTTACCTGTTACCTGTCCGTTGTGAAGAGATAATTTTACAAAGAAAATAACTAAAAATGCGCCAATTTTGCTGTCCGTGTCGGTTGTTTGGAAGATTCTTTACATTAAATAACCTATTTTATACGCTGGGACAGTGAAAAGTGTCCGCTGTGGAGAGGTGTCCGTTACAAGAGGTTTCAATGTACTAAAATAAATTACAAAATCCACGTTTCCAATTCAAAGTGCATAATTGCATTGTTGACATTTATGAAGATCAACTGCCAAGTGACTTTTTTCATTGTGCGTCGGATAGTAAACATTGCATCTCTTTTAAAAGTGGCCAAAGGGATTCCCATGTTAAATTGGGTCATCTTCTGTTGATTTTATAGACGGTTATGTTTTAAATTACAGGGTATTTCTTAAAAAAAAACTATTTGTGTATTTTTGTCGGTAATATTGTAGACAACCATGTAAAAAGAGACATTCACCTGGTTTTTCTAAAATTTGTTTACTCGTTCGAAACCTGGTTCTTACTGAGCAAAATTGGTTTAACATCCCACAGTACACAATTAAAGAAAAAGTAGAAATAGTTTGCTGCAACATCCTCACATCGTTCCATACCCGGCAAGGCTACAATTAAAAATTTTTAAGGCAGATTTATAAACCCAGGTTATCTCGATCGTGGAGATCAAAAACGCAATTTCAGAGAAATTATCCTTTATTTTCTACACTTATGTTTGAATTATATTCATTTATGCTGTTAAAAATGACAAGTCAAAACCTTCTATGATATACCTAAACTTTTTAACCAAAATGATTTTTACTTTTAACAATTTACTGCAAAAAGGTGGTGGTGAAAATTAAAAGTAGAACCTTCATGTTATTTCCACCACAAAAATCATCCCTGGGTTTTCACCTGCATAAAAGTTAACATGGGTCTAAAATTTGACATGGGAATCTCTATGGCCACTTTTAAACAAGTGTAATACTTAAAAACCCCCGACAAAAAAAATTAACCTTTAAAAAGTGTGAAAATGATAAACAAAGCTGAGTCCTCTACCATTGCAATGAACAGTCTCAGTTAAGATGCTTCTAACTTTGTCAATGATTTTCTGGTATGACGATAATTATTGGTCCTCCAGAACGAGGTCCGTGTTAACGGATCTTCTCTTGCGTTTGAACTAGTGCGGGCACAATAAATACGTTGGTAAGCAAAGAAAGACAAGCCGCTCTGTAGTTTAGTGGTCAGGGCACCCGCCCGGCAAGCGGGAAACGTGTGGTTCGATTCCTACCGGGGCAGCAACATTTTTCTCCGCTTACCTTCAAACTCATTAACTTAAAGGCGACTAAGAAAAATATGATTTACCCAATATAGGAAAAATCTTTTGGATTTTTTCCCTAGTTTTCATTTTCAAAAAGAAGAACTGAACCACATTACGAATTACAATTTTTTCCTTATTTAAATAAAAATCACTCGACACAAAAGTATTCAATCAATTCCTAAACGACAAATTACTGACAGAATCACTCGACATTATAAAAACGTCATCTATGGAAGCCTACTTGAAGCCTACATATGCAAATACTGCTTTTTCTTTTTTTACCCTCCAAGACGATGCGTAACGAGTTATTCATCAAACCATCCTCGTAAGAACCTCCCCGAGTGAACCGGTTTTCAAACAAAAGAAATTGCATTGAAATCGGTTCATCTGTTTGGGAGCTGTGGTGCAACAAAGAGCCACAGAGACTTCAGCTGATGATCAGACCATCCCGATCGAACTAGCTTTGGAACAAAAAAAGGCGCATTCAAATCTGATCATCCGTTTGGGAGCTACGGTGGCAATGACAAAGGCCCCAAAATTATAACACCCTCCTTTTTCAGTCGGGGGTTAAAAAGATGCACTGTGTAATAGCACGGCCAACTGTATTAATACAGTTGGCCGTGGTAATAGTGTTTATTAAAAAATATTGTTTGAAGTGGTCTTAATAAATTTTAGTAACATGTTAAAGTTTTGCTTTTAGTTCTCATAGAAGTGTTGGCTTTGTTTTATCACATATATTAAAATTAACCTGTTTGCTACGCATACTACGATAAATAAACCCTTAGGGAGAAATACGCTCAATAAGTATGCAGATTTTGTTGTGCTTCGGTAGGGGAAGTTATATCTAAACAACTTTAGACCAATTTTTTTAGTAGTACTAAAACGCACAAAAAATACCTATCGTAATCAGTCTTGTATACTTTGCAGCTGAGTTTTTTAACAATAAAGTTAGTAATTGTTTTAGTATTATTTTATACATAATTAATTACACAGTTATTTTTAGTTTTCTTCAGAAAGCACTGATAGGTATTTGGGTTTGAACATAAAATTTAAATTAGAACTAAGAGACCAAAAGAAATAGCAATTAAAATTTTTTTAAATGTATAGAACTGAATCTAACGTACAACTCCCTTCGAAAGTGTCGTTATTATGCTCAGAATGTGTATTCTGAAAATACATACATGACAAAGAAAAAAAATATATGCTGATGAAATTTTTAACAGAAGCTTCAGAACAAAAAAAGATACAACAGATTCTATTCTAACAAGGTTAGAATAAACACAAAATACACATTTCATTAAAAGTTTTATTTAATAAATAAGCAACACTTGATGACTCTTAAACTTAACATTACAATTGTACTGATGAAAAGTTTTATTTAAACAAAGAAACTTTGGCTGTAAGTACTCATCACGGGCAAGAGTCAGGGGTCATGAAAATTGTAAGCATTATCTCAGTCGTACTAAACAGGGTTGGCACATAATAAAATCAGTCCGGTGCTGGAAACAATAAAACTAATATCACTGACGTGCAAACGTGAACTTAATAAATTAACAACAAGTCCTAAATTGGTCCGCTGTCGTCAAAGGCACATGCCGGGATTTTGTACGCACCAAGTCGGCCACAAGGCCTCTGCCCCCAACCCTCGCGAAATCATTCGATCCCTGTGAGTATTGAGTCGCGTATAAACGTCCTCCTGTATCGTGAAGGTGGTAGTATCCAGTTGAGGGTCGCTCCACACACGCTCAGCAAAAGCGGCGGCTCGAGGCCACAGTCGAGCGTCCAAAGAACTCTCGTCGAACTGTTCACTCCACAAACACGCTTCACCTCCGAGAATCTGCCTCTTGTTCAGGTGCAGTTGCTGCCACGGGCGGTGGTTGTACACGGTCTGCCAAGGCCGGTAGGGATCGCAAGCAGCCTCTCCTGTTTCTCGCCACCTTCCGAAGCCACAGTCCAAGTACCAAGCATCTACGTGGGAGAGTATCACTCTGTAACCGTCGGCGATCAAGTCTGGAGTGTCCGGCCACTGACTGGCACCCCAACTTTGTACCACAATGTTGTTTTTATCCAAGTATTTATTAACATACGGTCTTTTGCTTAGGTTACTCGACCACATTATCACAAGTGGAACTTTGTTGCCGTTGTTGGCAGCCTCTAACCTTTTCAAAGCTTTGAGGGTGAAGTCGCCCCAAAGGTCGTGCAGATCTGTGTAGTTCATTATGGTTGTGCTTTTTTGTAGGTGTTGGGCCCAACATTCGAGATTTACTTCGTCTCCTCCTATATGAAATAGTTCGCGCTCCTCAGTAAGTTCTAAAAGATCTCTATAGATTTTTTCTAAAATATCGTATACGTTGACGTTTTCTGGGTTTAGTTGTCCACAAGGAGGTTCGCCACAGTAAAGACTCCAAGGTCGTTCGTTGACACACACAGCCAATTCTCCTAAACCTTCCTGAGGTCCCCAGGTCCATCCATTCCCAGCATGGGCAGGCGTGTCCACTTCTAGAATAACTCTAATTCCTCTGATTCTTGCAAATTCTACTAAAGCACGCACGTCTTCCGGTGTGTAAATCATGTCAGGTCCGTAGGCACCAGTTTTTGCAAGTTGAGGGACTCTGTATGATACTAAGGGAAAGCTCTGTGAATCAGTGATATGCCAATGGAAGACATTCAGTTTACTGGCAGCCATGCCGTCTAGAACTCGACGAATACTTTCAACTGACATGTAGTTTCTCGCCGTGTCTATCATTAGTCCTCTATAGGGAAAAATGGGGTTATCTTTAACGCTAGCACTTTTAAGTATTTTCAGCATGCCTGTTTTGTCATAGTCGTCCCACCAAATCAACTGCGACAAGGTCTCTAGACCGTGTCTGGCCCCAAAGAACGTCTTAGCTGTTATATTTGCTATCACTTCGTCATCTTTGGGCTTAACCACCAACGTGTAACTTTCACTAGTATCAAGCTTCAGCTTAACGACATTGTGTTGCGCTATATTAACTCTAACCACTAGCCTCTTGATGTCTGTACTTCTCTCTAAATAATCTTTGCTCTGGACTAGACTGATAACGTTGCTGTTGAAGGCCATGAAGGACTGCTGCAATAGACTTCTTGCTGGTTCTGACGCGGCGGTCTCCAGCTCTAATTGCTGGTGGTTGAATGTCACGGCCCTGCTGCCGAGAGTTACGGGTCCTGTGGGCTGGGGCCAGAGTTGCGTCGAGCCGCACAACATGCTGCATGTCGATAATGACACTACGGGGATGGCCCCTTTTATATGCCGCCTCTCGCAGCGCTGATTTATACATTGCCAAGTCCACTGGGGAGGGTGTGTCTTTCTGAAACAACGAAAATTGCTGTTAATTTCAGGTTATCTATGGCCGTATTATGGTTGGGTCGTGCTTGTTTGCGGAAAAACTTGGATAGTTGCTTCTGATCAATTTTTAATGGCACAACTTGCATGACGTATGACTTTAAATTTGATTTTTGGTTACGTTTTTTCGAGTGGAATACAGTCCGCAGGCACTCAACGATCCATTAGCTCGAATTTAATTGCGGATCCATTTAAATTAAAATAAAAATACCGAAAAGCGCCATCCGGGATTCATTTCAAATTCCGGACTTTGTATTTTTCTGCGATTCTGTGGGATTTATGTTTTACTGGATTCGGATATAAAAAGTGAAGCAGCCAAGCTTACTTTATTTGTATGTGAGAGTAAATATTACCATAAGCTGCTTTTGTTCTAAATATAATGCGGAAAGGGATTTTAAATTCAGAGACATAAACCAATTTGTTATCTTCTTAACAAAAAATTAGTATCATACTAAAACTGTTTGTATTTTCAATGCCTTGCATCGAGGGAGGTTTTAAACCACCCACGTAATCATATAATAACATAATCATTTTATCACGCGTATCTACAACATATGAATTGCTAATCCTAAAACGCTTTCAGCGATGGCTTTCTAACTTCGTAGGTGCAACGTACGTCGTTGCTGAACTTTAGGATTAATTACATAAATGGGGTGAAGTAGAATGGCGGGAACAAAAAACAAACAATATCTTATACGAACTTAACAAACAATGGAGCAGTGTAGTTATTATATATCGAGTGTTAATAAAGTAAGCAAGTAAGTAAAAACAAAATATTTGGAAAGATATCAAAAGCGACGAATGAGAAAGAAGCTAATACATTATTAATTATTTATTATTCCATGACGCCACTACATTTTTACATGTAAACAAATTTTTTTTAAAAATATTGCTGATCTTATTATTTGTCCTTAGAATATCAGTTTACAGTACGTTTGCTCATTCACATTTAAAAAGATAAGGTTTACATAAGAAAAGAAAAATTCAATTAGTATTCCACTATGCCAAGACCATTAACCTAATCTAAAAGTTTCAGAGTAGTCACGTGTTATGTGGAGGTAAATTCTGTTGTAAGTATTCCAACGAATACAGGAACTGGACACCAAAGATTACTTTCCAGAAGGAAGTGGGCATTTTATTTAGGTAGAGTGGAAGTGTTTGATTTAATGTAGTAGAAATGGATGTTTTTTAATTTTTCAACATTGTTGAGAAAAGTAATGTTTACAGCACTCGAATAAAATTGCCTTTTCTCACATTGTACGATCATGAGCAGGGCGTGAATATCGCAGAGTAATCCATTAGCGTGCGTGCCTTGAATTGCAAACTTCAAGGCCACACGTTTACGTTGACAGTTATTTTTGTTCTGAAAATTTGCCTTATAGTTTAACGCCACTGTGGAAATAAACTCATAATGGAAGTATGGGTGCTAATTTGTGTCTTGATGCTTTAAGCTGATAATTTTTCATAGACATTTATTCTTGTCGCAAAAAATTGTATAATTGTAAAATTTTATAACTCAATTGCTACAATTTAAGCAACAATAGTCCAACCATAAATGTGGGAGAAACTGGTTTCAAATTGTGAAGAGTTCGCGTGTCAGCTTTGTCGAGACGTAAGTCCTAGGTAACCTGTCCATTCATGTTTGATGGATTTACAACATCAGGACTGGGATTTATATTTAACGTTATAGTCGTAAAAGTTTACGAAGAAACAAAATTTTTGCAACAAGTATATGTGCCATTTATTTACTAGTTAATTGTGTCAAACAACATTCAATTTTTTGATAGATGTGAATAACAAACAGCAAGGAATAATAAGTAATAACGCCACTAAAAGATGTTGGAGCGTGGGTAATAGCCTTTATATTTTTGGCGTTTATAATGTAATTAAATATTTATAGTTTCCGTTCTCATGATTTATGAAGAAGGATGCTGTGTAATTTCTACAGAACAAAGAACTAATTTCATGAAATACTTTACAGAGAACAAATTATTGATTCAGATAAACCTCTTTGTTATCACGCGAAGAACAGTAGAGGGTAAAATAGTATCGGAAAAGTTTATCATCATCTTTGAAAAGTCCATTTCTGAGTTTTAATATAAAAACAGGTATTTATATATAAAATAGTAGTACAAAATTTTCAAAAAACACACATGCGTTGTTATTAATGTACTTAAAGCTCTAAAAATCAAACAAAAACAAGCAAAAAAATTAAAATGTAGAATTTGGTATAGTCAGTAATTATGGATACCTAATGAGTAGAGACAGACAAAGTTAGTGCATGCGACTCCCACCACTTTTCTTCAGTAGCGCGCGATGTTATTGTTTCGCTTCACCCATGACTGCATGTTCGGTCGCGCTACCCTGGACTGGCAATGAGAATGAGTAGTGGGAGAACTTTTCGAGCGCGCCAACTAATTTTGCCCATCTTTACTAATGACTAGTGTAATTCCTTTACTTCAACATTACAACATTACAAAGTCAACATTACATTATACAAGTGGGCAAGAAGTAAATTAACATAATGTTATTTTTACAAGCCACTACAAATAACAGTGTAATGAAACTGTTTTTTTGAATTTTTTAAATGATCAAACCAATGTCAAAAAATATACGTACAGTGTTACATTTTTAAGATTCCATAGCCTATTGGGATGGCCAACGAATCTGAAACGAATAATAGATTCAGTTGTAATTATTTTGATTAAATATAGACGTTGCTTATGAGAAGTAACAAAATTTGTTACCAGACAGCAGCTATTTTCGCTACATTCAAATTTGCAATAAAAGGGAAACTTCTTGTTCAAGTTTGATTTTAGACATTGACATTAGATAAGTACTAGTGTTTCGTTTAAAGTTCACTCCCCTTCTCCCTCTATTATACAGAGTGATCAACAAACATTGCTTGAAAATGGTAGAATTTCATTTCACTTTGCTTCCTGTTGGCAAAACTGACATGGTTGACAGTTTTTAGAATGAAGCAAGATCTGTTAATGAATAATTCATTAATAAAATGTCATAGATTAATAACGTGGCGTTCAAAAGCAGCATAGGACAGAATTGAAAAATTTAGTTTATCTGCAAAAATAATAAAGTTACAATGGGAACCTTAGCTGGAACACCGTGTGTATAGTAGATACGTTAAAATCGGACATTTGTACTAACGTTAAAATAATTTCAAATAAAGTGGTTTTTGCTTAACGAGAACGTTATAATTCCGGTCATTGCCTTAATCCTTTTGCATCTGTAAATCTTACACTGCAATAAGTTTCCGTATCAAAGTAAATCACAAAATTTTACCTAGTCCCAGTTGAATCAAACTAGAGGAGAAACTGGAACAATTATGGTGTTGTTTTTCCCTATTTGCACATAGACAACCAGTGCTCTACAAAATGCATAGCAGTGAATTCAACGAAGCTTGGAGCAGTGCCAACTGATTAATCCGACTTTGCTTCCTTGAAATTGCTCAGATAAACTTTCACACACAGTTCATCGAATTGTTATTAAATTTAAACGATATTGATTCTCGCGCTCAATTTAACAAAAAAGAACTCCAACTTGTATTTTAATGTAAACGTCACAACCATTGGTATGCCAATTAATCGTGCCATTCCCCTCCTAAATGAAATATATCAACCAAATTTAGATTAATAGACCTAAATATTTAAAGTTAGGGCTGAAAGGGGAACCGTAACCGCGATGGATTACTTGATAAAATGATGATGTTAATGTTAGGAGTTAGCGGTGCATGACACCCCGAGCAATAAATAAAACACTTCGCGACGAATAAAAAGACGATTGGTAACTGAATACGGAAAACGTCATCCGAAACCGAATGACTTTCTCTATATTCTATTTCTTCCAAGCAACATTAAAACTAAATGTAATAAAACAAATATTAGGTACATAGTTTAAAATGAAGACCGCTATCTCAGTGAAGCATTTATTATGGTCTTTAACACAAGAGCGTATTTTTTTTTTAAATTCTTACTGGCAGGAAAGTTTGCGATCTCCATACTTAAATTAGAATGAATTATGGTGTTATTAACTGCTTCCTTTGTTTTTGTTTTCGGAAATATATGATTGACGAGTCCATCCCATAGAACATCGAAACTGCATCAGTGCTATGACCAATGTAATTGACAATGCGGACTGCAAAAATTAATAATGGCTCAGGTAAACGTTGTTTGGAGAATATTTTTCATATATTCTTCGAACAGTGATGGATCATATTAGTAAAATAAAAATAACAAATGTTTTATTCACAATTTCAAAATTTCGTTTTTATAAGACCACTGGGATACTAGATCTGATGTGTGTAATTGTTGTTTTTATTCCAGAATGGATCCTTTAAAAAAATATTTGTCAGTTTATATAGTTTGTTGATTTGTGAATAACCGATAATTAAGTAAAAGCCGTTTAATTGGTTAGTAAGTAGTACGTCAAGCCAATTTTGGAATACTTTTAAATATAATTCTAGGTAGGTAGATATAATTAAATTCAATGATTTTTAGTTTTATCCTTGTGCCAGTTAGTCAAATATTGTTAAAAATATGGTAAAGTAATTCACTAACAACTAATGCAACGAGTTATTATTATGGATGATCGTTTTAACACATTAACACAATTTAGTTGTTGCACGCTCAAGTGTAACATACGATAATTATAAGGTAATCAGGTATTAAAAATATTCTCGTCTTATTTTGTACAGTTATTATAACGTCAGTTTATGAGCTATCGTGCATGACAAATACAAACGGCATGTATTTTCAATATAAGGAACCCAATCGTATACTTTTTGTCATGAGAAGTTAGGTTTATTATCTACATACAGAAAATTTTGAATCCAGGAAATGTGAGCTATTGATTACACCGAAAGTTGATCATAAGAGAATATTAAGAGTGATCACTGGAATGAAGAGAGGGTGGGTGGGCGGAGCTATTGCTTGCTTATAAAAGATTCTGTAGGAAAAAGTTAAACTTAACCCCGCCCACCCACCCGTTCTCTCATTTTTTTCTGCAGAAATAAGAAATAAATGTTATGGAAAATAAGTTGTATAACAAAAAAATTACGATTAACGCTTTTTTTTAAAGGTATTAGTTCCCATTCTCACTTACATATAATTTACCCCGCCCACCCACATCGCCTCCATTTCAATGATTCATTTTGTCTAGTCCCAAGGAAAGGTAGATGTCAATTGAAGAGAGATAAAATATAATAAAGATACGATTGATTTTGATAAATGACATACCTTCTAAGACAATAAAGTGTTGGTGGGGGTCTAGTACTTGCTAAGATAAGACTGATTGTGGCATACGACATATTTTCTAAGAAAAAAAAGGGTGGGTGGGTGGGGCTAAAACTTTGTAAGGTTAGTACTTAACAATATTAAGAGTAGTCACTGGAACGAAGCGGTGGGTGGGCGGGGCTACTGCTTCCTCATAAAACTAGAAAAAAGCTAAATTTAGCCCCGTCCTCCTCCACTTCACAGACTTGTTTTATTTAGTGTAAAATGGAAATTATAAAATAACAGTATTGTATTCCCAATATTTTCTCGGAGAATGGAGCCGTTCCTGATTTAATCAATAAAATAAATTGACTCATTCATTAATTTTTTTGAGCCACCTGTTTAAGCAAATGCAATGATAAATCACACGTAAAAACTCATCACATTTTGAGTAGAATTTATTAGGCAAAATTTTGAGATAACGTCATCAATTTTTTGGGTGAAACAAACAGATATATTTTGATTAGCAATTTATCATGCTTGCAATAACGTTAAAACGTCTGCAAGATTTCAAAATATTCACTTTGCAATTCTTGATTTCTTCAATAAAATAAATTGACTGATTCATTTTTTTTGAGTCGCCCTGTATAAGAAAATCTAAAAAATATGAATGCAATGATAAATTACAAGTATACCTACTCATCATATTTTGCACATTTTAGACAAAATTTTGAGATGACGTCATACATTTTTTGGAGTTGATAAACAGATACATTTTGATCAAAAAGTGACCATGCTTACAATAACTTCAAAGCGTCTGCAAGATTTCAAAAATATTCAGTTTTGCAATTCTTGATTTAATCAATGAAATAAATTTACTCAGTTACTAATATTTTTGAGACCCCTCTATAAGCAAATCTAAAAAATATTAATGGAATGATAAATCACAATTATAAACTCATCATATTTTCGACATTTTAGATAAAATTTATTCAGCAAAATTTTGAGGACGTCGTCAATTTTTTGGAGGGGATAAGTAAATATGTAAAATTTATTATGCTTATCATAACTTTAAAACATCTGCAAGATTTCAAGGCATACGGTTTGGCAGATTAAATTGCAAAATGTTGTTTTATAATTTTGATTTTTTTTTCCAAAAATTTGTACGTTTCGAGTAGAAATTCAACACGGAGTCATAAACTACATGTGTAGGACTATATTATTTTATACAATTTAAAACCCATTTACTATGTGCAATTTTGAAGTGATGTCATCATATTATTGGTGCGCATGATTAAATAAATTTTGATTAGCGTTTTACCATCTAATTACATGACATTCCTAATATAAATCCTGCAAGTATTAGGGGTCTTAAACACCTTAATTATTATCTTGTACATCTCAGAGATTCTAAAGATTCCAGAGATTAAAAAAATTTCAAAGATTTAAAAACTCTTGAAAATCTGGAAATATTTAGAAAGTGTGAAAAATCTGAAATACCTAGAAATCTCGAAAATTTCCTTTTACTGAATTTGTCAAAATATTCCAAATACTGTGAAAGCTCAAAGTCTTCTCTAAATTTCAAATATTTCGAGGATTCCAAGGGTGCTAAAACTCTAAGGAGTCTATTAATACTAAACTGATATATTGCTAAAATGTTAATGACGGAATAAAAAAAATATATGGTATATGGAAAAACTGACTGCAAAATCGATATTTCCTTATTACATGTTTAAAATGGTAAATTTTTGTAGACAAATACGGATTTTTTGGTTACATTTCGCCCGTCGGTCTGGCAACGAATGAAAAATTCATCATGAGTTTAAGCCCGCCCATACGTGCCCCGATCTCAATAGTTATGAAGTTTTCATTGGTTCTCAGACTGAGGAGCGGAGAAACTTATCATTTTAAAAGTGTTTTAAATTTCTTGCTGTGAATAGATGACTTATGTGTATTAAGGAGAAAACGCAAAATATAATATGCTCCTCCCCTCGACTTGAAAACGAATGAAATATTCATAACAATTTAGATCGGGGCGGGTATAGGTGGGGCTTAATCTTTTTTACTTAATACATATAGTTTCCTTGAACAACACAGGTAATTAAGAACTTGTTTCACATGATCATTTCTTGTAGAAAAATAAGGATTTTGCAATTAAGCTCCGCCCCGGTTCACGACGAATAAAAAACATCATCAGGATTGAGACAGAGCGGGTGGGCGGGGCTTGCATATTGCCTTGATTTTCTTAATATGGTAGTCTTCTTTTCACAACAAAAAACTTGAAACTCGTCAACTAGTTCCGATATATGTATTGGGAAAATACAGCTAAATTTGTAATGGTTGATATTTTCTGGACAAAACCATGCTGACTAGATGAAATCGATAGGTTCGGCGATGACTAAATGTGAGAATACAAAATTGATTCGAAAACCTTAGCAA